ATGTAGCAGAACGCATTAAGCATAACCTTAGATCTTTCCAGTAACAAAGTCGTATAAGATTTCCGACGGTGGACTTTTCCTTCCAATTATCTCTAACGAATTTTTTCTGGAGTTGCTGTCTCCAACAGATGGAAGCTCCCTTTCATTTGCCTCATTGGAAAACCAGAGGTAAATAAATTCATGGAGAGACAACGCAACTGTTTTATCATCCTGTGATGAAAATTGCAGCAGCTGATTTGGACTTAGATTTTGAGTCCTTGTAGCGTTAGAAGCTTAAGTGTGGTCTTACAAGAGGCTGCAAGCAAGGCCAAGAGCAGGGTAAAATAGGTGGATACTCCAACATATTAAGAAGATATCCGGCATTTGATATATAGGCAGACTGGACAATAGACTTGGATCACTAAAGTGAAGATCACCATGCTTGGCAAAACAACTCATCACTAATCCATGTAAACATTAAATGCAGCAGCTAACTTATCAACGTTGGCAGACTTGGACATAGAGCCAGGAGAAAAAAGAAGTTTTTTCTTTTTCTACGTTTATTCTTTCCCTTTTTATAAGTTCATATTACTCAAGGTGTATTCTCTATTTGCATACCTTAAGTTGTCTGCAAAGTTTTTCTACTTCAGTTACTATATATGGTCTAACTTTTTAATGCTACATGCATTACTAGAGTGTTATGGCAGGGTAAAAATATAGAAGAGAAACTAAGCAACCAAACAAAACAAAGCACAGATGGTGGGGCAATCAAATCAGGAAAAAATAGTTAAAAAAGCTAGAACATACCCTTGAGGACTTCCTTGAGGACGTATGTAAAACATTGGTTTTAATCCTGGCTCCGGATTACTGCATGAAAATTATCAATTAATGACAAGCACCTTATCTTCCAGTCCCCCAATTAAAATAAGTCAAGCAAGTCAGACTTCATAGTCATCAAACCTATATGCATCAAAAAGGAATAGTGGGCACCTAACAAAAAATAGAATAAAATAAACAGGCATACAGGCGTATCAAAAGGAATTTAAATTATAATATAAAATTTTACAAAAAGCATTCTCCAAGACCAGTGTTGCAAAGAAAAGAAATGGTAACATATGCAAAGTTGCTAGCAAACAAAATTTTACAATCCACATAAAAGCTCAGGCGCTATTATAACTATCACTCACATATGACCATGGCCATCGGTCGCTCGAGTCTTCCTTAGATGGCTTCTTGCACTAGATAATTGGGGGCCAACTTTTCTCACTGTTTCTGCCTTGTCTGAGAAGGTAAAGTTTAGACAACTTAACATAACTGTGTCATGAAATTAAAGAAGCGTCTATCTATATCCCAGCTTCTTACTTGGTATCTGCTTATTTCTCTGCAGTATCAGAACTTCTAGCATTACCCTAAAAGAACAGAAAAGGGTGAAATATTTTAAAACAAAATGACAAGGATCTGAAAATCTAAATAAAACCAAGTAGAAGAAGGACAAACTGTAGTGATCATATAATACAAAGATGAAATAAATTCCAAATCAACTATAACAACTTTCTGTTGCTCATGTCTTCCTTATTGACCCCCCTTGGCGCTGGTAAAGACCTCCTTCAGAAAAGCCAAATGATGTGTCAGTCACTTTAAGTCTTAACCTATTCTGATTCTGAATTAAGAAATACAGACCTTGTCACTGTTGGTAAGATAGACTTCCTCACAGTCCTGAAAAAGCAAGTACTTGAGACCTCAATATCCAAGAACTATCTAGCATAGCTCATCATAATAATTGAGAGATACAAGATATATGACCAGCAGTACCTGCCCTCAGTTGCAACAGATGATCTTCCGCCATTTTATTAATCTTCTGAGCACCTAAGGGTGCCATTGAACTAGTGCCTACTGTTTACCACACAAAGGCAACATTTAGTGATTCCTAACCAGGACATATAGATTAAATTATCTAAGGAAAGCAAATCACCTCCTCTTGGAAGCATCTAACTGAACTTCAACTTGACTTATATTCCTTTGCAGTCTCCCCTAATATGCAGGAGGAAAAAAATATATATACAATTTCGGTAATTTATAGTTGTAGGCCTATGATTCAATCGAGTCAACCAGTAAAAAGGTGCTCTACCAAAATGATAGTAGCTTATACGCTTTTTCACAAGAGTATATAGAAACAGGAAGGGAAACAAAAGGGAAAAAAAATCATCTATGGATGAATCTCCTACTTAATAAGCATATTTTGACATGGCATATCATTCACTGACAAAACCGAAAAACGGGCACCACTAACTAGAGCATTCTGCCCATTGTACGTCATCACTGAATTTGTAAGACTTGCTTTCGTCACTCTTGATTTAAAAGTTCGTTAGTAGGATTCCAATTACAATTCCAGTCATTTTGTCAGTATGCAGCAATAAAAGGTTAAGTGAACCAAATATTCTGCTAAGTAACTCAATAAGAAAGAAAAGACCAACATAGATTTTAAAGAAAGTTTAAACAGATATGACTAAGCAATTTTCATACCGTAAGGGACCTCCTTGAAGAGGCATCGCTTAACTTGCTGCTTACTGGCTAAAACCCTGGATAAGCATGTAAGAAATGAAACATCAAACAATGGAGTATATATATGTTCAGAGGTAAGGGAAGCAAGCGATGTTGAAGGGAGTTAAAGTCAGATAAACCAAAAATACCCATACTCAACATTACCAAAATACCCCTTCTAACATTACAAAAATACCCATACTCACATTATTTCTACTACCAGATGAAGAGGATTCTCACTTCATTTTAGAAGCATCCTGTTAATGTTCCTGGAAGAGTTGCCTTGAATATTGCTAACATCAGCCAGGCCTTTCTCGCTTTCATATTTGCTACAAAATAAATAAATAAATAAATAAATGAAAGCGATAAATCCAATCATCAACGTGGTTCTGTCTAGATTTATTCACAGCTTTGTCTAGTTATGGCATACCAGAACTGCCGTATATGCCACTGCTTTTCTTCATACTTATGAAGCCGCCTTCAGCATTAAAGTACAAAATAATACAACCTTGATATGGTCATCAAACGCAACCCAAACAGCAAACTCGCAGATATCTTCTGATTAGCTACCGAAGTTATAGAGTATTCAGAAAGTTCTGAGACATATTACCTTTGAATTATGGCAGTATTCAAGATACACCTCTGTTAGCTACCAAAGCACTCCTTCTACATACCATGAAGAGATGCAAGACGTTAAACAAACAAAGTTAAATGAGGCATATTACCTTTGAATTACCGCACAGCTTTAGATCATTATTTATCAATTAGAGGAAGGGAGGAACAAACAAAATCAAATGACAACCTCTATCAGTATCACATATGATACGATTTCTTTAGAGCATAGATGTTCACTCTTTTCCTAGGGTAGCAATTCCAGATTTTAATGTAAGAAAACAAATCATACCTTGCATGCACACTGGCTTCTGTTGCAGTTTTTCTGTCAAAGGACCAAAATTAATACCCTATCATTTGCCTATAGTGCCCAGGAAGAATGCATTTTCAATCACTAACAGAAAAATGCTTACTTGAGCTCTTCATCGCCTATTTTGAGATGCTCGATGTCCGATAAAACTTAAAATTTTCTACGGTCCACTGTTATCTCACCAGAAATTTAAAAAAGAAGCAAAAAAATCAGTCTTGCAAAATTGCAAACTCAAAAAGGCCAGAAATCTTTAAAACAAATTATAAACACCCGAATTAACAGATACCATTTTTACAAGCTTGGCCATCTTCAAAGACCTGGGTTAAACCCACTTTAGATTTTCCCTGCAACTACGAAATCACACAAGAAATTCGAAAAGGAAAAAAATAGCATAACCCAAAAACAAGAAATGAAATCCAAACGCATCCTGTGCACCTTAACAGCTGCCATAGCTTTCCGATAACCGCCCGCTCCTAGTGATCTAAGATTAAATGAATGTCTACAGAAACATAAGTGGAACCATTCGTTGAGGATTCGAATGGGTATTGCGAAGCTTCAGTAACAGCGGAGAAATTCAAAGAGAAAAGAACAGTTTTGTAATGTAAATGGGAGAAACGGGAAAATCTGAATACGAAAGAGCGCCTCTTGTGCCTTGGATTTGAAATGAGATGCTTTTACACTTATACCCTTCGCCGGAGGAATAAAAAAACGTGGGGAGAACATTTTAACAAAACTTGGCCATGCAGGTCTCGAACCTGCGACCTTCGCGTTATTAGCACGACGCTCTAACCAACTGAGCTAATAGGCCAGTTTCTTGAGGTGGTGACCCTAAATTATATATTATAGAACATTAACCCCTTACATGCACCAGCATGCCCAAATACCCTAATGATTGCATAACTTGAAAAAAAAGCTGAGCAAAAATTAATAAAAATAGTATGTAATATATAATTTTTGAGGATTTTTTTTTCCAACTGGCTATAGGATATTGAGTTTTTAAAATATTTAATATACGTTAAAAATCCAAAATAAAATTTATGGTAAATATACCTATGGGGAACATTCCAACTATTCAAGGACATAAAGCTTTTAATTATAGACTAAAAAGCATTTTTCACAATCAAAATTATCATCAAATCTTAGGAGACAAACGAAGCAAGTCGACAATTTTTTACAGTTAGAAAATTATAAATATTAAAAAAGAAAAAAGAAAAGTGAGAGTCAATATAAATTTTTTAAAATTACATTAAAGAATATATATGATCTTAGTCATAAAATTTTGAAGGAAAAACTATTTTAGTGTAAACTAAAATTTAAATCACAATCATTTATAATGCATAATTATATAAATATATATATTTAAGTGGATGAGTTAAGTGAGGATAATTAAGAACAGGTCCGCACAAGCTTTAGGACGAATTAGTTTCATATCACAATATAAGGGTCAAAAATGCAAAGAAAACTTTTCAAAAGAGAAATAAAGACACACGACCTCAAAAAAGAAGATGGCTTTAATATGCTTTTTGTGGGATAATGAAACAAATAAATAGGAGTTTTTGGAGGGGAATTATGTCATAATGTCGCCACATTGAGTTAGCCAGTTAGACTAATATATAAATAATTAAACAAATTTTCTAATTAGTTTAGTCAAGAGTTTTGGATAAGACAATCAAATTAAATTCACCATTTTTTCCTCTCCTTTTTGAGTTTAAAACAACATCATCTTGAGTTAAGAAGATAGTGATCCGTCATAATTATATTTGAATAATTCTGTTTTATTAAGTTATATGTGGTTTTTACATGAATATTTTATTTACTCATGAATTAGTACTTTTTTTTCAAATATTACTCTTTAGAATTATATATAAATATTTTAATGTATTTTATTTAAATATATGATTTTAATTATGATTAGATTCATTGCCTCCCCCAATGAATAACTGTCATGGTTGAGTACATTTTCTTATGCTTAAGCAACCATTGAACCAATCTTAGCAAAATGGCTTTCCTTTTAGGCTTTGCATGACTCCATTGTGTCCTCATTCTCTTTTCCTCTCTTGTATGTTTGTTTTAAGTGGCAACTTATCACATCTTTTCATACCATTCATGTCCCTCTTTTCCTCCCTTTATATTGAAATTACTATATTACCCTTCACCTTCCCCTGAGATACCCCATGTCCCTATCTCCTCAACCAGATATTTTTCTTTTCTTGTGAGTAAATTATATTAGTTCTGGTCCTAATGACATATTACAAAAATAACTGCTTTGTTTAAATTCTATGCATTTTCACCCCTTTTTGTATTGACACCAGTGCATTTGAACCTAAACACTGAATTTTAATAGCCAATGATTTACCATGGAGATCAAACCTACCAGTAAGGATTCTATAATTTAACATTTTCACTAACTTATCCCCAATATTTCCATGTACCCCACCCACAATATTCTTCTTTTGTCACCCATTGCATCTGAAAAAAGGGCGGCGTCCTGTGGGGTGCTTATCTGAATCTACATAAGATTTAATGTCATTAATGTTTATTCATTTTAAAAATATGATTATGTCTCATTTCTTATATTGGGGGTGCCAAAAACAAAATCATATGAAAGAAAATGAACGGTACCCATGACAACACGGAGGTTAATGAGTTGATTTTTTTTTAATAAAAAAAATACTCCTCCAATCGTTAATATAGGACCTAATTGTTGACTTGATTTTAATCATAGATATAAGACTTATTTCTCATATTTATCAATTTTTTCTAAATTATCTCTATAGATACTCCCTCAACCATAATAAAGTAGAAGAGTGAAGGAGAATATTAAGGAAGATAATCTTGGTGTTTTAGAAAAAACATATCATATTTTTTATAATTAATTAATTTACCTAACTTCCTTAATCTAATCAAATTAGTTAAATAGGTCTTATATTAAGGATTGGAGGAGTGTTATATACAATCTAAATTATAAAGGGGTATTTTAGTAATTTAATTATTTTTTTAATTTTACTCAAAATAATTAAGTAGCTCTGTTTCAATTAAATTTTAAAATATTTAGCTAAAATATCATACATTATTTTTAATAAATTGGATTACAATACATAAATAATTAATTTTTTTAAAACAACGAGCCATTTTGTGCAGAATCATATGACCCATAAAAAATGTTGGAAGTTCAGAAATTACTTGTATATATATGATTTAAAGCTTATGAAACTTTTCCATGCTGATCATTTATAGCAGTTACTTTTTGATTAATTAAGCATTAATACTTAATAAGCCTGGCCTTATCGCATTAATTAGTTCCATGTAGCTGTACAGAATATATATTAATGGCATGTCCTGAGCAAAGATTCTCACAATATCAGCCTCCCAGAGTGGCTTCCATTTTCCTTCTTTTTCTCTGCAACCAGAGCCAGTGATTCAAACTCAAAACTCATTCTCAACGCAACAAAAAATCATCCGTCTTACTTCCTCTTTCTCCGTTAATCTCCTGCACAATGGTCGTCAACTTTCAACCTTCTTCCTCCTCCTCCTCCTCCGTCTTCAAATCTCTCTGCCTTTGCACGTTTCTCGTCGTCGTCGTCTTCCCCAGTACTGTGGCTTCTTCTTCTTCTTCTTCTGGTTCTGGGGCTGGCTGTTCATGTGACCTCTCAAAAGCTACGAACAGGGACGATGATGCAAGTGAAGTTCTCAGATACAAACTCGGCTCCATAGCTTCCGTTCTGATCGCCGGTGGTCTTGGAGTGGGCCTTCCATTGCTGAGCAAGAAGATCCCAACTCTGAGACCTGAAAATGACATGTTCTTCATGGTGAAAGCTTTCGCCGCCGGAGTGATCCTAGCCACTGGGTTCGTTCACATACTTCCTGAGGCATTCGAGACCTTGAATTCGCCATGTTTAACAGACAATCCTTGGCACAAGTTTCCCTTCACTGGGTTCGTCGCCATGCTGTCCTCAATAGGAACATTAATGGTGGATTCTCTGGCAACTGGGTATTACAAAAGACGACATTTCAGCTCAAAACAAGTTCCTACTGATGAAGAGGAGGGAGATCATCATCATCATCATCACGAACATGCTGATCATATTCATGTTCACACTCATGCGACGCACGGTCATGCTCACGGATCAGCACAAGAGAACCCTGAAACATCAGAGTTAACCAGGCACAGAATCATCTCACAAGTAAGAAACCAAATCACATCAGTACGTAGTTCAATAATATAAGTAATCAGTTTGTTTTACTTTTGGAAAAAGAGGGAGAGATTTGATGTGATTCTTAAGAATAGCTATAAGTTTATGCATAGAGATTTAATTTGAAATATTAATTGGTGGGTTTTGATCAATGGGCGAAGGTGTTGGAGATGGGAATAGTGGTGCATTCAGTGATCATTGGAATCTCTTTGGGTGCTGCTGGCAGCATTGATGCTATAAAGACTCTCTTAGTGGCCCTCTCTTTCCATCAGTTCTTTGAAGGCATGGGCCTTGGTGGTTGTATTTCTCAGGTATTCTACTCTTTATTCACATCATATATATATATGTTATGCCACTTTATTACTAATAGAGTTAGGTCTAACAGAAATGACTAATTTTTCACAACATCGTGAATCAAGATTTAAATATTTTTGTTAGAGCATGTCATTTAGGTAATATGGGTGTTTTCTATATGTTTTTTAAATTAAATTATGTTAAACTAGATATTTTTCATAGTAGATTTTAGGATAAATCACACTATATATTTATGGTTTATAAATAATATAATTTACTGTGAATGTTGAATCTTTTTAATAATTTTCTTACAAAAGTTTATTAGAACACCAAATACGTTTTCTTGACTATTTTCTCTCAAAGATGTTGAAATCTCAGTATGATGTCGTGAAAAAATATTATTATATTTGATTTTTCAAAAAAAAAAAGGTGGGGATTTAGGTCCATGTATTCATTAATCAGTAGAGTCAATGAGTATAATGATTCGGTCAAACATAAACTAAGAAGTTAAAGCAGTATAAATTGTTACTATTAAATTTTCCTCTTAAAGTTGGACATGACTTGTGAGCCAACACTGTGCTTAAAGCTGAAAAGATAAATAAGAGAATGGGCTGCATATGTTGCCATCATGACAACATCTTCTTTCCTTATTCCTTCAATAAACATAGTTACCAACTTTGCCTTAAGAGTAAATTCTCTATGTTACTTCAATAAACATTATTTTATCTCCCATTCTTACTTTTATGGAAAAAGAAATGATAAGTTTATGGTAACTTATATTATCATTTGGTTGAATTGTTGTATATACTCCTTTCGTCCTACTTATATAAACAAATTCTTCCAACTTACTTTATTAAAGTTAAGAAGAATCTTATTAATTCTGTCTTGATTAAAATTTAATAACTTTTTAATTTTACTCTTATTTTTTTCACAATGAAGGGTGCCACTCTGATCTTAACTAAGTTACTTGTAAGAAAAATTTTCAATCCTGAATATAAGTCACTTATAGGCAGTTAATGATATTTTTTAATTTTACTCTTATTTAATTCTCACTAGAAAGAACAAAAGAGAGATGTGAAAATGATTTGTAAATGTAGATGGTGAAATTTTTTTGATAAGGGTAAATTTAGAAAATTTTATTAATTTAATACATTACTTGGTATGCGAAAATGTATTCCAAGTGACTTATATTAAGAATTAGAGTGGTATAATGACATATTTATGTGGAAAATTTAATGATGCATCTTACATATATGACGGGAAAAATATGCTTTTTTATATCTTATAAATAGGATCAGAAGTATGTTCTACTGAAGTTGCAAATAACACTTGAATGTGTGCATAGGCCAAGTTCAAGTCAAGGGCGACAGCAATAATGGCATCATTTTTCTCCCTAACAACACCAATTGGGATAGCAATAGGGATGGGAATTTCAAGTGTGTATGAAGAGAACAGTTCAACTTCTTTGATAGTAGAAGGCATTTTCAATTCAGCTTCGGCTGGCATCTTAATCTATATGGCTCTGGTTGATCTTCTTGCTGCTGATTTTATGAGCCCTAAGCTTCACAGCAACCCGAAGCTCCATCTTGGAGCTAACATCTCTCTTCTTTTTGGCTCTGCCTCCATGTCTCTCTTGGCTAAATGGGCTTAACACCTTCTTCTTCATCTGATGAGATCATTAATTTTTCTGGTCTCTGCTTCAATCCCATCAAAATGATTGTGTTGATGGTTTCTAATAAAAAACCAATTAACACACATTTTGCTTCTGAGATAAAATGTTATATTTTTAGTTTCAATATCCAAGGATGATTTGTTTGCTTAGCCTCAAGGCACTCCATTGTATGAATAATGAAAATATATTTCTTTTTCAGTGTATATTAAATATATTCATATCATGTAATGTATATTTTTTCCCAAAGTTTTTTACACCTAAATACATAATTATCATTTTCATCTAGAAAATTGGACTCCCACCCTATCTCCACGTAATCTTTATTCTTTAGTATATGGAACAATGTTCTCTATCTTTAGAATATATCTAAATATAAGACAAATTCTGAGAATAAAATTAAGCATCCAAAAATTCAAAATTTGGTCTTCGACGAAATGATCAAGTATATATGTCCACAAAGGGGCCCCTTCAACTTTAAGCTTATCAAGTGTGGCCCCCAACTTGAGCTTGTCTTGTCAAGTAGAGCGATTAAATTAGATTTCAAAAGAAAAAAAAATTAGTTTGGTATATCTGTAGGATATTATTAAAAAAAAAAAAGATCTATGCCACAGCGATTTATCAATAATATGATTTATTATAGTTCTTATTTTCCCACAAATTCAAAATTTTGTCTTCGATGAAATGATCAAGTATACATATACATGTACACAAAGGGGCCACTCCAACTTTGGGCTTATCCAGTGCGGCCCCCAACTTGAGCTTGTCTGCTCAAGTAGAGTGATTAAATTAGATTTCAGAAGGGAAAAAAATTATTAGTTAGGTATATCTTCAGGATATTATAAAAAAATCTATCCCACAGCGATTTATCAAGAGTAAACGTGCATCTAGCACTCCAATTTTATTTCTCAGGTACATCAAACACCCTGATCTTTTATATAGTGCATTCAACACTCTGATTTTATTTCTTTGGTGCGTCTAGCACCTTAATCTTATTTTTGGTGCATCTCGTATCCTAAAAATTAAAATGCTAAATATAACTAAAAAGTTAACATAATATTGGGGTGCTGGATACAACATATAAAAGATCAGGGTGTTAATTAAATACACTTATAAAATAAGAGTAGGATGCTGAATAGACATTTACCTATTTATCAATAATATGATTCATTATACTACCTCAGGTTCTTAATAAAAGACCTCGTTTAATTTTTATTTTAATTATAAATATAAAATCTCAATCTACTTTGTTTCTCATATTTATGTATTTTTTTTCAAGACAATCCTTCTACTAGTAGTAGTGCTAGTCAATATACTTAATTAGCAAAGATATTTTAAAAGAGACAATATCTATTTATTACAAATAACTAATTTAATTTATTTCCTTAATCTTTTCAAATTAGTCAACTAGCTCTTATGATTAGGACCGGACATAGTAGTTTTTATTTTATATTAATATCAAATTTAAATTTTTCCATAATTTTGCTCCACCATCTTTTCTTATGCTGGATGAATTATTTATCCCTCGTTTTATATAAATATAGCAGAGTTGAAGAATAACTAACATTGAATGATCAATAGAAGCACCACTTTTAGTGCCCGTTTAGATTGATGTGGAGAAGTGACTTTGTATTGTACAGATAAATATGAATATGTGAAAGAAATTTCATTTCGTAAAACATAAAAACACTTATTTTTAGCCGATGGCATACGTAGTATCATTGTATCAGTTCAACCGTATATATTTGACCCAAGAAATGGAATAAGTAGCCAGGAAAGGCATCAACGTAGGAGGCATAGAATGCTGTTCTGTGTGATAAGAAAGAGAGTGAACATGTCCATTGCACATTGTTCGGCCATGGCATCTCTGTGTTCTGGTCAGGCTCAGTTCTTATGCATGCCATCCATTTACGGACGATACAGTTCAATAATATTCTCACAACTGTTCAAGCCATATCCACATAGAAAAGTCTAAACCAATTCTAATATCAGACAATGACAATCTAAACTAAGCAAACTACATGGAAACCTAAACTAAAAGCTTACTTTTCCTAAAGCATCTTCACTAGTACAAGGATCACAAGAACCATACAGTTTCTGGTAATTTTTATACATATTAGCAGAAAGATTTGGAATCTGCTTCACAGGTATCTAATGCTTGTCCTGCTTCAATCCCTCTTTGTCACGCCACTTACACACGGTGCTTCTTCTTGCTGGTGCTTCCATGGAAGAAAAGTTAGACAAAACCCAGCAGAGAAAGATGAAGCTTTGAGTAGAAAGCAAGCAAACCCACAAAAGGGGCATAATAAAAATCATAACTTTAATCTTTTGCCATGGCTAAGCAAGCATCTATACCCACACGGAATGAGCATACAAAAGACATTGCTCAAAATGATCATACTGCTTCCTTCCCATAAATAGGCCTTTCTCTGGTTTTGTGTGCCTTTTTTAAATTTCATTCATTCCCTTTTATGTGTACATCTTGAAGCAAAGCATGAAGTCCCAGAGAATCACTTTAACTTCCATGGTTCTAATTACTCTTCATTCCTTCTTTCTGGGCAGTTCTAGGGCTCTTCCAACTCTGCAATACTTGTTATAAAACCCCACCGTTGGACTGCGTTATTCTGGTCGTTACAAAGTCTCACATAGCAGCACAGTTCATTGCACTGGGCTTTGAGCAGTAACTGAAAGAAGCAGAGGTGAACTGAAAAATGAGAAGTTGCTTTCTTCTTCTCTATCTGACTCTAGCGATTATTTCTCTCACTCATTGTGGTATGTCTACTATCTCAGGACTATATCAGATTTATCTATCTGCTGCACTGATTTGAATCTTTAATATTGATGGGTTTGATTTCTTGGAAGTTTATCTTTGCTCATTTGTCTAAACTGGACTCTTTGAATTTCCCAATTTGCAGATGCAGAGAGATCGATGAGAGTATCAAAAGGTACAAAACATGGGAGAATTCTGACACACAAGCACATGAAGAAGTTAAGAATGGCGGTCAAGCATTTTGATTTTTCTTCTTTTGAGTTTTCAAATGCACAGGGTGTTGACTCATCATCTCCTTTACCACCTTATGAATCTCTGGCTCCTATTCCTTTGCCACAAAATAGCCCACCGTTTTGTTATCCTCCCCCACCTCCGATGGGCCTTCAATTACCACCTCCAGGCCCACCTGGTTCTCTTCCCACACCAACCCCACAAAGTATCCCAAACTCGCCCGGCATGGGTTCACCATTACAGAATCCTCCAATTATTATCCCAGGCCCACCAGGTAATGTTCCCACATCACCTGGGTCCACATCAGGCCCACCAAATACTATCCCATCCCCAGGTGGAGGCACCGGTCCAGGATCGCCTGAAATACAAAATCCTCCCATTGTGCTCCCAAGCCCTTCTGGATCTACGACGAGCCCACCAAGTGCTATCCCATCCCCGAGTGGAGGCACTGGGCCCGGCTCGCCTGAAACACAAAATCCTCCGATCATTCTCCCAAGCCCTCCTGGATCTACAACAAACCCACCAAGTACTATCCCATCTCCGGGTGGAGGAACTGGGCAAAATCCACCTACAACGAACCCACCAAATGCAATTCCACCTCCAAATGAAGGTAATGTTCCAGGCTCCCCAGAACCAATACAAAATCCTCCAATTATTCTTCCAGGCCCACCCGGGTCAACCATGAGCCCGCCAGGTACAAACCCATCTCCCGGTGGTGGCGGTGGCGGAGGAGGCAGTGTTCCCAGCCCAACAGTGTTTGAGCCTCCTGTAGTGTATCCGCCACCTTCAGTGCCTCCCCCTCCCAGGCGGATGGCCCCAAGTGGAGCCCTATGGTGTGTGGCTAAGCCATCAGTCCCGGACCCAATAATGGAAGATGCTATGAACTATGCCTGTGGGACAGGAGCAGATTGTGATCCCATTCGGCCCAATGGGCCTTGCTTTGAGCCCGACACTGTTATTGCACATACTTCATTTGCCTTCAATAGTTTCTGGCAAAATTCCAAGGCTGCCGGTGGGAAATGCGACTTTGGAGGCACTGGCATGCTCGTTTCAGAGGACCCAAGTGAGTCTTTTATTTCTAAGAAATTTGAATTCTATTGTTATAAATATATACTACTTTATGTTTGAAGTAATTTATGTTGTTTTATTTTTCCTTTTTGGTTCATGCGCAGGCTACGATGGATGCCAGTTTGTCTACAGATAATTGAGAGATTCTTTATGCAACTTTTGGAGTCTGCCATGAAACAACAACGAACACACCAATTTCTTTTTCCTTCATTTTTCATATAATCTTTATTTGGGAAATAAGATATTTTTGTCAGCTTTAATTTTCTATTACTTTTGGAATTTGAAAGGGAAAAATTACACCTAGATTTTTTTGTAAGTAGTGCAGGATTAATGGCTTAATGTCATTGATTAATTTGTGGTCTTTTCATTTGTAAGTATTGTAGGATTGGGCATCATTAAATGGAAGTTACTAAATAGAAGGTGGATGTGTAGAGGGCATAGGAATAATATTGAAATGTAAAACTATATATTTCAACATGATTTAATAATTACGTCATGTCGCAACAATACGTATACCATGCAATTTTTGTTTTATTTATAAATTATTTTTAAATAATTCGCAAGTATTGACAATTAACCATTCATAATTTTTCAAATTTCAAATATTATATCAACTTTTCAAAATTATTCTTACACTAGAATTAATCTATTTTATTAGCTTTTATGCCCAAATTTAAGACAATATGTATTACGTTAATTAAATTGATATTTTTCTTCTGAAATCGTCATTCTCCCTAATTAATAAATATACATTTTTATTTCTGTGTAATGGAAATTTACCAAACAGAGCTAAAGATGAATTTGAATGCAAGAATTTGCGTGGATTCAAGGTCTACTTGGGACTAAGAATAGAAGTATGGTCATATGTCAAATTTATTTGAGAACTAATAATATTACGCACTATCTATATAATATATATAATAATGTATTTACAAAAAAAATTTTTACTCATAAGTTATAAATAGCAGAACTCACTTTAAATTCCATATGAAATATAAAATAATAATGAGTAGTCAAAATTATCGAACAGAAATATGATTAATGAAATTACAGTCAACTAATCAACTATATATAAAGAATAAAGGG